CCTGTGGCTCCATGATGTAATGTATGCAAGCAACACCTAGTTTAATATAAAACAGCACTAAATAGTTTCAAGTACTAGGAGATGAGAAGTTACGTCACGATCAGACATCAGCACCAGACGAAATGTGAGTCAGCGGCGATACTCGCTGTCAATGACAGGCGAACCGGGATCGCTTCCCATACGTACTATTTTAGTACGCAAGGTGTGAGGCAATCACATGTGCCGGTAACTGCGATTGCTTTATTGATAATTCGTTCGTGTGAAATTAAAAAAGAAAAAAAAATATAGCATTTGTTACTAACTGACAATGTTGCTTTTGATAGTGTAAGAATTTTTGAAATCGGCTTAGTAGACTTTGAGTTATTTCAATACATACAAAAATACAAATCTTTCCTCTTTATGATATCTGTGAAGACTAGCTATTACCAGTAACTCCGACCCAGTGGAATTATAAAAAAAACCTTAGTAAGTAACCTATGTGCTCTTCCAGACTATCCTCTACATCTGTGATAATTTAATCGAGATCTGTTATCAGTTCTACAGACCTAACAGACATTTATCCATCTAAGCATTCGTATTTATAATATTAGTAGGATTTAATTTTTATCTTTATTTCGACTCTCGACTGTATGTAATCTTTGTTACAGTAAATGTCCCAGCTTTCGCTATACTTTGGACTTAAATAGATTATCATCATCACCAGTTCAGTATACGTCCCCACCGAGGGGCTCGGAGCCTACCCTAAGTAAGGCGATGACTAGGCCATAGTCTACCGCGCCGGTCAAGTGCGGGTTGGTTGACTTCACACATATCTTTCAATTTTTTCGCTGATATATGCAGGTTTCATCATGATGTTTTCCTTCATTACCTTAGGTACATTATGAAACTTAGGTAAATTATGAATAAAAAAATAAGTAGGATAACTAATAATCTCTCTGGCATAACTCTACTTATTGACTGTTCGTGTATGCTTTAAACGTGACATGTACTAACTACTTAAATACAACTCGCACAAATAACAGTATACAAACTCGAAGAATAAATAAATACGTTATTACATGTAGAGAAATGTCAATTATTATTTCATTTAACTCATAAAAAATTCTCGCTGAAATCTCGCCAAAATTATAACGTTTCTAATAAATAGTTAAATATCGTTAGTATACAAATTTTTGTCTAATCATTTTCAATGTTTATTTATCTTCGCGTATAGATGACGGCTGGCGCTTGTAATGTGAAAACTGTTTCACATGTTTAACGCAAGAAGCATATTTTTTATAATTTTGTTTGAATGTAATGTGTTCCAGTCTATTT